CTACATTGAGATCTCGAAATCCTTTTTTTTCACTGCTGCAGATACGTTTTTGACTTGTAACTGATACAGGAGAATCTCGACTTTCAGGGCTATTCAGAACAGGTTTCAGATTTTCAAAAATCGAAGTTTTCATTTTGCAGGATCTCGACATTTAGGGACTCGATTTCCTCATCTCGACTTTTGACATCTCGAGTTTTGTCATCTTGACATTTGACATCTCGAGTTTTGTCATCTCGACTTTTGACATCTTGAGTTTTGTCATCTCGACATTTGACATCTCGAGTTTTGTCATCTCGACTTTTGACATCTCGAGTTTTGTCATCTCGAGTTTTGTCATCTCGCATTTTGACATCTCGAGTTTTGAAACCTCGAGTTTTGAAATCTCGAGTTTTGAAACCTCGAGTTTTGGAATTTCGAGTTTTAGGATTTCGACATTTGGGATCTCGATGTTTTGGATCTCGACATTCTGGAGATTTCGAGATTTTCAAAATTTCTCGATGTTTTGAATCTTTCAAAGTTTGCAGTTTCTTGGAACTCATAATTCGAATCTTGACATCCTTTGCAGTTCATCGAAGCTTTACATTATAGGATTTCTGAATGATTCCCTGCTTATAAATGTTTCAGATTTTTTCGATGTTCTGATGTTTTTCAAACAGCAAGTTTTCGAGATTATGAGGTTTTCGAAACTCCAAAGTTTTCGATGTTCCAAACATTTTGAAATTCTGCAGATTTCGATATTCTGAGGTTTGTTTTGCAGGTGGATTTCGCCATTATTCTTCGAGGCAAACTCGAGATTAAGATCTTGAGATTTAAAACTCGAGATTAAGATCTCTAAATTTAAAACTCGAGATTGTAATCTCGAGATTTAAATCTCGAGATTGTAATCTCGGGATTTAAAACTCGAGATTGTAATCTCGAGATTTAAACCTCGAGATTCGGATTTCGAGGTATTGCCTTAGAATTTTGTTTAAAATCCACCCGCTCTCGATATTCAACATCGAGAACCTCAACTTCAAAGAAATTCCTCAAAAACTCAAAATTAGAGATTTTCTGCGACACCGCACTGTTTTGGCCATAACTTTTGACTCGGTGATCCGATTTGAGCAAACTTTTTTTGTTGAAAAGCTAACGAAAAGATCTACATTAATTCTCGGGCGATGCCCCAGAACCCTTTCTCACGCGCCCTCACTCGCAGTCTTTGAGGGTCAAAACGTTAGTTTTCCGACAACGTTGGGGTACTTATGAACCCACTAGATAAAGAACAAGGACCAATATTGGATCTAGATTGAGACCAATAGATACAGAACACAAATTAATATTGGTCCTAGATTTTGCATTAATAACGAATATCTGATTGAACATGTTTGCTTACTTTTACAAACTGAAATAATATGATTAACATTATTTGAAACATTGATATTTAAACCCATTCATATTGATTGCTTCAGTGTTCAAAACAGTTTTTAAAAACAAAAGAACTATAATATTTAATCATAGAATAATATAGGTTCATCTTGATGAAACAAACACTCTATAAAACGATGAAAGTCATTATGTGAAATTAAAGATAAATTATAAAAAAAAACTCATTGTGTTTAATCGATTAAAGAAAACTTGACTCTTAAACATTATCAAAACAAATAAGATAACAAGTAAATAGAAATAAAGAAATGCCACGAATGGGTATACCCAATTCCAACAAAGGTTTTTTTTGTGTTTAATAATATATTACTTCTAGAGGGGGTTGTAAATTTAGGTTCAAACAAAGGCAATTTATAGGGGATACACCCAATGCCTTATTCCGTAGTGAAATAGTGCATCTTTAGGTTATAAAATAGCTGCTATAATGAATATGATACTGTTTTAATTGAAATAAACATATATAATAATTCAGGTTTGAAATGTATATTTTTGTTAAATAGAGCTGTTGTGCGGTAGTGTAAGAGTGTAGCGAGGTGAGTGATGATGTACAGGTTGTAGATAGGCTGATTTTATATGGGCTGTGGATTGATAATTGAAAGGAGTCCAAATTTGTGTTTCATAACAGACATGGGCCATTAATTTCCAATTACATTCACACCTAAACAATTGAATGAAGCTTTGATTTGAATTAAAACGGCCGAAAAGAAAGTAAGAAGATATGAATGTTACGGAGGAAGTAATGGATAAATACATTTGTTCATCACCTTTCTTCAATAAGATAGCAAATACAAACTATTGATTTTGTCAAAAATAAAAAATCATCAATGGTATACCAATTATAAGTGCCATTTAAGAATCAAGATTTAAATGTTTCATAATATACTTGATGAATTTATGGTTTTACTTTTATGTACAATTCTGAACATTACTTTAAATCTGTTTTTGTTGTTTATTGTTTAAAAGATACTCCATATTAATTTTAAGGGAATTTTGTGTTTCTCTTAAATTCATACTAAAAATAGGAAACCTTTTATAACTTCATGTCGTGCATGGATTGTAGTAGCAAAATAAACAATCTTTAGAAAGCCATTAATTTGTTAGTTTTAATCATTATTTTCTTAGAGCTGAGAGTTGTGGATCAATTGGTGTTAATAATCATTAATTAATGTTTTCCTTTGATTCAAAATTTTGTAGCTTTTAGAATGCCGAGATAGAGAAGTGGGCAGAATAATTGCAGCTAATAAATTACGTAGTAGTGTAGTAAAAGTTGTGAACCAATGATTGTATTTGAGATTTGCAATGTCACTCCTGCGGGAAGAAATGCTGGAATGGACTCACGTATGTTTGTTAAAATAATTCATAAGGTTTGAATGTGATGAACATTATTTATAAGTACATATAAAAAATAAATTGTGGAAGTGTTGTTTTTAAAAGGTTGAATGACAAGAAATGTCATTTGTAAAGAAGTGTTTTGAGATTGTAAACATTTATAGATTTAATTTTATCATTCACTCTGAATTTAGTAATATATATTTCATACTTATTTATAATATGGTTGGTTTTAGCTTTGATCTCATAATTCATACTTTGTATTACATCTATTAAACTACAACAAATGTATTATATGACAAATTATTATCCTATATATTATTCAAAAATTAATTTTTAAAGATGAGATATATTATTTCCCGTGCATCGCACGGGTAACATACTAGTTTAGTTTATATTGTACCAAGAACTATTTTTACCTAATACATTTGACATTCCCTATTATAGTCCTACTTGGAGGTCCACACAAACAATTATTAAATCAAGAATTTATTTGAAATTTTTAGAGGCGAAGAGAGTAAAACTGTTAAGGAGTAATTTTTTTTTAGAGAAAAGGGGCAAATAAGCCCACGTCTTAACAAAAAAAGGTCAAATAAGCCCTTATATAGAAGACTGTGTCCGGCCGTCATCATTTGAGGTGGTTCCTGGTGGGAATTTTTTATGCAATTTTTTGAGCATATTATTCATTAAGTCTAGTTTATTCATACCAAATTTCATCTAAATCTTCAAACGGGAAGGCATTCAAATGAATTCTTGAAGATAATTGTGCAGTTAAAAGCGCAGTTATCTTCAAGAATTCATTTGAATGCCTTCCGAATTGAATTGTTATCTGAAATTTTGTATGAGTAAACTAGACTTAATGAATAAGATTCTCAATAAAAAAATTATCAAAAAATTCCATCGGGAACTGCACCAAATGGTGACGGCCGTGACAGAGCCTCCTATATAGGGACTTATTTGACATTTTTTTTGTTAGTACGTGGGCTTATTTGCCCCTTTTTTTTTTTTTAATTGTATTTTTAATTGACAAAAGTAATCCAGTGGCTGTTTCAAGTATAAAAGCTCTTATCTCTTCCATGATTATACATTTTCGTTAGTTTTTGGAGCACATGAACTTCTTATCATTTCAAAAAGTCAATTGACAACTTATGAATGGAAAAGTAATTTTATTGTGAAGGAACTTTTTGAGCGTAGGCCCACTCTTTTCAATTTTAATGTGTCCGAAGGTGGGATGCAAGGTCCCAACCTAGACCTTCAGTGAGACCGTGTTCCATTTTTGCAATTGCTACATACGCTAGATTGGATCTATTTTTATTGCATTGAAGAGATGCTCTTATGACTTGTACTTCAAGTCTATTGGCTATGGTCATCTGTTATACTCCATAGTATTCCGTAATATACTTTTAGTATTCATACGTGATTTTGAACTTTTTAAAGTTATTTTGGAAAAACGGTTTAATAGTAAAAATTGATACTGTTTGAGAAGAAAAAATTAATTTTAAAAAATTAAAGTTAATAGTGTTTGATAAAATAAGTGTTTTTTGTGTAATAGAAAAAAGGGAGAACTATCAAATAAGCCTTCGAACTTTTATAAAAAGTGCAAATTAGCCTTTTTAAAGGAGGCTCTCTCCGGCCGTCGCCATTTGGGGCGGTTTCCGGTGGAATTTCTTGATGAAATTTTTTTGAGCATCTTCTTCATTAAGTCTAGTTTACTCATACCAAAACGCAGATAAAAATTCAATCAGGGAGGCAGTAAAATGAATTTTTTAATATAACTGCGCAGTTAGGCAACATAGTATACTTCAGAAAATCATTTGACTGCATTCTCAATTGATTTTTTAGCTGAAATTTGGTATGACTAAACTAGACTTAATGAAGAAGATGCTCAAAAAATTTCATCAAAAAAATACACCGGAAACCGCCCCAAATGGCGACAGCCGGACAAAAACTCGTGTAAAAGGATTTATTTGCACTTTTTATGAAAATTCGAGAACTTATCTGATAGTTCTCCCTAGAAAAAATGATTCTAGCTTTGAACTTTTAAATATTAATTTGAATAAAAATTGTCACTTCAAAATATTCTCTCTTTTAAACAGAAAGCTGGAAAGTGATTTGATTTTTTTTAAATGTTTGCAAACAAAGCCTTAGATTTAATCCGCAAGTGGAATAAAATCAAAATTAGTAACTCAAAATTAAAGTCTTCTTAGGTTTCTATTACACCACTTTTTTTTATTCAATCCGCAACTCCACTTGTTCAAACAATTTAGGTATTTATCAAACGAAACGAGCGGCCAAAGAAAGTGGTGGATGAAAATTTTCGAACTCAGGATTAGCGGGTGGTTGGGAGGCCCGCGCGGACGAGTTCTGCGAAGTAAGCAGCGTCAACGCCCGGCCAGCCTATGACCCCTCCATAAATTCTTGCGCCACTTACAAAGGACGCGGCAACCGGCTCTCACCGTTTGCTTTGTTTTCCTTACTCATTAGTTTAAGGCAAGATTTAGGGTTCCCTGGTTGCCTTAATTTATACACTATTTCCATCACCACTCCTCTTCTCCTTTCCGGTGTGGGATTTACAACTGCATATGTCTTTCGTTTTTTTAAGGCTGTGTTCAACGAGAGTTATAGAGAGATGCCCGCCCAAGCATAGAACCAGCTTTCCTTCGGTCCTTCTTCCATCATTTTCTTTAATCAAGCTGCAGATGATCTTGGAGACTCTGATCTCTCTCTGCTATGTGTCCAAATTTAGAGGTAGCAAATCCTCCCTTTTCTTCCTATCATTTTCCATTTCATTATCCTCAATTATGTCGTTTCTCTACACCTTCTTCTTCAATCGCCTTTATGTTTACCTGTGGCTACTGCGATTAGGGGCTACGGACAATGAAAAACGGGTAACACGAGGAAATTCTAATTCCAGTCTTGCCGACAGAGGAGATGTAGGGATCAATGGCTTAGGCGAGGACTCTGTAGATTCCAAAGGAAGCTATACTCCTTGCCCTGCGAATTGATAATGAAAATTGGAAACTTATGTCATCAACATTCCGTTGACGAAAGTAGCTGAGTTTGGATAACATCTTCATAGCCCATCTATTCAAGAAGTCTTCTTTAATGGGCTGTCGGAAAAACTGTTTACTCTTGGCATCAGGTGAAAGTTTCATACTCATCATTGTTGTACGTGTTGTTTTCCCTTTATAGAGTAGCTCCCAGTTCTGAACTAATGTGCATTGATTTGAATGGAATTTAATCAATTGCTTCTGCTATGGAGTATTTATTATCTCACACACTAATGGGTTTGCTCCTTGGAAACGATTTGGTAAAATTGATATTGATTGCATATAACAAGTTCACACAATCAATACTTCAGTTCATAGAAACAAATTTCCAAGAATTGACAACCCATTCAATCGTAAGCCTTAAACCAGTCATATTAGAAGTCTAAGCCCAGTAGCTTTTAAGTTTAATCTAAACTGCATAATTGATTTCCCCCTATTCTCAATGGAATTGGACGGTGTACAAAAAGCGAAAGTATCCATTGAAGCCAAAGTAGCCATTGTCTGCTTTTCTCTTGTTCCCAAATGAGCAAAAGTTTCTTTTGTGCTGTACATCTCATGAGTGAGTGCTCTTAGTCCCCTGATTTAATTAGTTTTAGGTTCTGTTTTGGTCTATGGTTTTGGTTAGGAATGATACGGTCATACGGAAGATTTAGTCTCCATAAAGGTACAATAAAATGTTCGTACAAACAAGGAAAAGGTGACTCGTGTGGTATATGACCACATATTGTGTTAGTTTTTTGTACTTTAACAAATTTCACACACCTACGCAAATATGTATTAAAAGTTCGGAAGTTCTTCATAATTACAGTAATGTCACCGTATTTTGGAGTTAAAAAAATTATCACATCCATCTTTTGTCACATCAATGATCCAGATTAATCTTACTTTCCATATTAGAACTTTAGAAGTACTTTTTATTTTAACTGGGTTCTATATTTTATAAAAAGAGACATACATACTAAGCCCACCTGGTGCATTCCCCTCTAAACCACTCCAAATCCCTCCATCTAAAAAGACTCCCTGTGTCTACAGTCTAGACTATAGACGAGGAAACTCATGGCCCGGCCCATTTGAAAGTGGGAAGTATATTAAATTGGTTATTCACATGGTTATCTGGTGGTAGTATGGCTAGTCTTTTTGTTAGCATCAGCGGTGTGAGTAATAAAAGTGGTACTCGAGCCTAAAAAAGAGCTTATGCAGATTCGTTTAGTAACATGCTTTAACTCATTTAGGTAATTGTAGTCTTTCTTTTGGTTAAGGTTTTTAGTGTAAAAAATGAATCTTAATTACAACAACCGCTTTCATATTGGAATTCTAGAATAAGAGTCATTCGCAAGTCCAACTCAACTTGCAAATGCAGAATATAATCATAGTTAAGAAATTATGTAAATATATAATACACATGTGAGATGTTCAACTTGCAATTATGTGACCATTGGATCAATAAATTACTTTTTATAATAATTAATTATTTATAAACTGGAAGTAAATACCTTTAGTAGTGTCCTTCACAATGCTTGAAACATAGCTTTAATGTACGTTCTGATGGTACAAAAAGAAAAAAAAATCTACGTTCTGATGGAAATTGAAATGTTTCTATTTAGAATTATCTTCAAATTTCTGAAAATATCACCCTGACAATATTGTCTCATCCGTGGAATCCATCATGACTGTTGTTTTTTTTAAAGGTGAAGACATCCATGGATCTGGTGACTTGTCTTTTGGGTAGTGTTAAAAAGGAGAATGAGGTATTGTCTAACTATTTTGGTCATGATCTCTTCCCCATTTTATCTGGTTTCATAAACGTCTCTTGTTCTTTCATTCTTTCAGAAGATCAAGCCAATTGGTAAAATGTTGGCGCAGCGTGTGTCTATGAGATGTGCTAACACGCTTAAGCTTTAAGTCAGACATGGTGAAAAATCTAGAGAAAAGGGTCAAATAAGGACTTTTAAAAGAAGCAAATGAGTTCTTATGACCTGCAAACAACCTTCTAATCCCGGTTATTGCTTATGTGGCTTTTTTAGCCAATCTTGGCTATCTTTTACCACGTCATCTGCCGTAGAGGTTTTAGTTTTTCAAATTTAGACATGTCGGTGAAAAACAGAGATCGGTCGTCTGCTTCTACTAGGTTTTGGTAAAAGATGAATTTCGCAATTGGCGACGACAAGATTGAGATTGATTCGATTGATTCTTCCGCTTCGCTGCTTGGGTTGGGATTTGCTTCATTCATCTACGTGTACTGATTGTGAAGGGAAAATAAGGTAATGTACTATCTTAAATTCATAATCTTTGGTAATATTTAATTGGGAATGATTTTGGAAAAAAATGGTATATCTTTCTTTTTACGTGAAATGTTTGACGTGTAAACAGTTTACTAGCTTCTTTTTTGCATTAAAATTCAAAATTACATTTATATGTTTCTTGCAGTATTTTTTGGGGGGGTTGAGTATTTTATTTTAGTTTCTTGCAGAAAAACATTTTTTTGCTGTTTGGTATGTGTATAGTGACTGATTCGAATATCAAATAGCCTACTACATGAAATGAGCATAAAATGTATTTGGCATTATTTTGATTAGAATATTTTTGGAAGCCGATCTAAAATTACACCATGTTTTGAATATTCCGAGTTAGGGAAAATCAACATAAAGATAAATGTTAACAGTATAGGGGAGAAACCATTTGAAAAGCATACTGATTCTGAGTCGTAAACCATTTGAAAGGGACTGGAATTTTGTATAGGTTATACCTCCTGGAAATGATTACTTTCTGAACTTAAACTCAGCTAGTCAGGTTTACTGGTTTGGCTTAAAACAACAGATAAGGGCTTAGGTGAGGCAATGTGCTGCTGGAGTTCAATGACCTTATATGATAATTTAACAAGTTTAGTTGAGTTAGTGTAGTTATCTAACAATCATCATTAACATTTTATCATATTAAAAACAGGTAATCATCCACATTTTATCTAACCACAAGAAGAAAAACTTCTTGTTTCATTTTGAGAATTTGAGCTGAATCTGCAAGGGTGAATTTGGCTGAAATTATGTTTCAAAGTCTTGGTTAAGTTGCTGAGTTAAGTCAAATAAACTAATGTTTCAAGTATTAACTTACAGTTTACAAGTTAATAAGTATACTGATTACTTTTAAGTTAAGTTTATAAGTATACAATGAGTTCACAGTATTCTAAGGCAGTTTACTAACTTATATGTACCAGAGTTTGAACTATTTATCTATTCTTTGAGGTCCTTGAGTGCGAGAATAATGCTTTTGGAAGAGCTCTGCTGAAGTTCACAGGTTGTATTGCAGTCATGTTATCTCATGTGGCTGAGGCTCTTAAAGTTTATTCTGCAAGTTTGACTCAGATTTGGTTACGAAGCTGCAAAGGAGCTCTTCAGGCGATTGGATCTCCAGGTGATTTGGTTACCAACACCCCTTCAAAAGAATAGGGTGTATGAATAGAATATATGCAGGCATTCAAACCTGAGCATTTTCATCATAATATAACATTTTCACACAAATTGTTCTTCAAATAAGATGCAAAGAAGTGGGCTTAAAAGCAGGTATTCTTCAAATCAAACAACACCATCAACATTACAGAGACCAAATCAGATAATGTGAGATTAAAACATTATAAATCGGACTACAAGTGAGACAAAATGTTCAAGCATAAAAGCTCCATCAGACTTCAACTTGAGACAACTATCAAGCATAATACAGGGGCCTAGAATTGTTGCATTGGAGGTTGTTACACTTCAGCCAGCTGCATCAGACTTCAACATGAGACAACTATCAAGCATAATACTAGGGCCTACAGCATGTTTCCCCTATGCTTCATACTCCGGTTTGCATGTATGTTCTTGGAACACTTTCTATGCTCGAAATTATGAAAAAGTTACGTGATTAACCAATCACCCTCACCAAACCATGCACAGAAACACACCATTTAATGCTTAAACCGACAACTTGAAGTTGAACTTTAATTTTAAACCAGATTGTTTTAGCTTTTAAATTTGAAGTTCAAGTTTAAAGTTTCAGGTACTTTCAGTTTCTGTTTAAACTTAAATTTTAAGTTTTGGTTTGGTAGGTTAAACTTTGGATTTTTAGTTTGAGTTTAAACTTTCAGCTATTTTTCAGGTACATTGAAGTTTGAATTTTAAACTTTAAGATTGAACTTGCAGCTAGTTTGAAGTCAGGAAGTGAAAATGAAACTTTAGTATTATGAAAACATTAAGTTCTAGTGTTAATTTAAACATAAACTTCAATTTTAAATCAGCTAGTTTGAACAATAAATTACATAATCTTTAAATTTAAACCAAGTAGTTTGAACTTTTAATTTTCAAGTTTAAGTTAAAACTTTTAGCTAGTTTAAACTCTGAAACTTTCAGTATTTTTACAAATTACAATGTCAATTTATGCTTTAACATAAACTTGAAATTTAACCTTAAACTTATGCTTATCGTTTAAACCCCTATTTTGAACTTTAAACATACTTTAAACTTCAAGTTATAACCAGCTAGTTTCAAACTCTAATTTTCAAGTTTAAGTTGATGCTTTCAGCTAGTTTAATCTCTGAAAATTACTAACTAAAATTTTTAGTTTTTTTTTTACCATTAAGAGATAGGTAGAAGGCCTTATTTGTCATCATTTACATATGAAAGATTTGGCAATCTCTTGAAATTTACATGTCAAATAACATATAGCTAACAGAAAGCAATTCCAAATTCGGTAAGAAACTGAATTTTTTCAACTTTTTGAACCCACCCAAACATATGAGGACATCATAGTTTAGAGTTTAATGCAAAAAAGAAATGGTATTGAAGCCTACATGCTGGACATCAAATCATTCACGTAAAATGAACAAAGGTGAGTGAGGTAAATCAATTCCCAAAAGCAAAACGAAGCAAGTCATATCCCGGGGAAACAACAAAAATTTCGAGCAGAATGTACTGTCTTTTACTTTCCTTAAACATTCACTGCACACATATGAGCGAAGCCAATTGAACCCCAAACAGCAAAATGGACATATCAAATGAACGAATCACTCTCAATCTTGTCATCCCCTGTCGCTGAGTTCATCTATCTTCAAATCTAGAGCAGATGATAGAGGAGATCTATATATTTCTCGAACATATGAAACCCAATGATTATACTACACAACTTCTACAAAAACAATAGGAGGCTTAAAACCCTTAATATGCATGAGCTTTAACTCATTTCTCGATAGAACCCATTGTAGATGAACTGAACTTCAAAGTTTTGATAAGTTTTATATTTTGAGATCTGGTTCCCCGATACTACAAGTGAAATATTCATTGAAGGGTTCACTGATCTAGATAAGAATTAATTGAACATCAAACCAAAGTATGATCAATATGATATACTCCCTCCGTTCCCAAAAATACTTCCCACTTTCCTTTTTGGGTTGTTCCCAAAAATACTTCCCACTTTCCCATTTTGGACAATTTGTGTGGCTCACATTCATTTTACCTTTTTCTTACACAACCACAACCATACATTTCCACTTTCTTAATAAGCGTGTCAAGTCAAACCGGGAAGAATTTTTAGGAACGGAGGGAGTATATGATACTTATCATGTAAGAGTTCAGAACCAATTAAAGAGACCTTCTAAACCACAAATACTATTGCCAACAACATGGGAATAGTAGTAAAGAAAATGGAAACTAGAAACCTCTACAATCTTTGAAGTTCTATATGCACATATTCTTCATGCTATAGTGATAAAAACTTGTGATCAAGTGGTTTAAGAGAAGAATGGAATGTAAAATGTAAATGCCATTTGAAAAAACAAATAATCTCAACAATAAACAAAATATAGTTTTATGTTGGTAATTTCGATCCAAGAACGCCATAGCCAATTCACAAAACATAAAAACATCAATTTAATCCTTAAAAATGATGAGACAAGTTAGACAACCCTAGTCCGTAGGCAAATTAGATCGTGAGAGATATAAATCCGAGTCCCTCCTACAATCTATTTGTTTTCCATTGCCGTTCATACACCACAAAGCACAAGAAATTGCTCTTAACTGATTGATTATGTGTGTCCTTTAGTTCCCAACACAACTCATAGACGACCAACAATGATTGGTTAAAGTGTTAAACACCACATTTGGGCTAGATTAAACATTGATCATCAAGAAACAATCCCACACTACCATTTGAGACGAGAGTCACATTGATTATACAATCACTCGAGCTAGTCCCATGGGGCAGATGATCATCATTTGGAAACCCCCCAATTTAACCTACAATTAGTGTCATGAAGTCAAGACAACCCACATGAGGAGGAAGTTAAGTGTGGGGATATTATATAAGATAAATTTCAATTAGGGCTAGGTATATATGTAGAGGTTTTTATGACAATTCATTTGAATCATAATCATCATAAAAATGTTAATGTCCTAATAAAATGAGTCATATTTTTGCAAGGAAAACTTTAAAATCTTTGCTATTATTTTGTTAGTTTCTTAATAGACACGAGTTATTACATTAAGGGATGATAACATAGAGCAATACATTTGTTTCATTATTTGATCCACTGAAATATTAAGCATTATATGTTCGATGATTTTTACTAACTACATTAGTACTGACATACAAATACAATTACCCTTTTATCGTGTGCAATGTACATAATTATGATCATATATCGATCATTAAAAGGAAACCTTAATACAATTTTGTCCCCACATTAATTTTAACAAATGTATATCACAAAATAGTTAACAAGTAACCTTGTCTAGCAGATAAATGAAATAATAACTCCATAAGCTATCTCTAAATTCACGACAACATTTTATGCACGTCTAAATTTCAATTATTTAAATAATTCTTTCTAAAATAATAAAATGTGTTGACATGATAATAAAGAGTATTTTAAGCAATGATTATTATTAATAAACTTTTCCACCCTTTTATCTTGTGTACAACAACAATAACAACATCTAAGCCTTAATCTCAAAAGAATTTGGGGTCGCGCGGCTAACATGAATCGATCTATGATATCGATGCCAAAAAGAGAATGACGGACAAGAAAAGAAAAAAAAAGCAAGATAAAATGAATAAAATAAAGATAAATAAATATAAGATAACACTAACATAAGAATATAACAAAGATAAAAGATAAAAAACAAAAGTGCATAAAAAAGCTAGAAGATAAAAATAACATAAGAATATAAAAAGATAAGGAAGATAAACGATAAAAGAAAAAAGAGAGGAAAGATAGACAAGACATCAATCGTCCACACGGATGTGCACCATTCACTTTGCTCTTTCCAAAGTCATACTCTCATCCAATCCAAGAAGACGCATATCAGTTCGGATTCCTCTAATCTAAGTCTGTTTGGGTCTTCCCCTCCCCTCTCTTCTCTGACTCTTCGCCCCACCCCTTTAGTCGTCTAACAGGTGCATCATTCAGTCTTCTACGCACATGCACAAACCACCGCAAACGAGACTCCTGCATCTTATATTCTATAAGTGCTACTCCCACCTTTTGTCTGATTACCTCATTCCTCAAGCGGTCTTTTTTTGTATGTCCACACATCCAACGCAACATACGCATCTCTGTCACACTCATCTTTTGAATGTGTCATTGCTTCACCGCCCAACACTCTACGCCATACATTAATGCCAGCCTAATTGTTGTAAGATAATTTAACTACATGTTTCTTATCACATTAATATTTTCCTCATATGCTATTATAGTTTTTCATTCATTCCCTAATTTTCTTCTTAATTATATATATATAAAATGTCCCACACTTTGTTTATTATTTCTTCTTGTGGAAAAATTGTAGTTATAAATATTAATTTTATTGTTAAACAACCACACGATTTTACCTTTTCATTAAAGATGGCTAATATTTCCACCATTTGCAAGGGAGTCAAAGACTAACATTTTTTTGGTTTGGGAAAATGATAAAATAAAGTAAAATGACCCACTAAATTGTTTGCGCTTCTTTTTATGAAATATAGTTCATGCAATTTTTGACGCGATTTTCACTATAAATGATCCGAAAATAGTCTTTTTTTGCTTTAGAGTATATATGGGTAAGATTGCGTACATCCGACTTCCTATTACCTCATCGTAGGTAGGAGCCTTTGTGGCACTGAGATAATGATGAGGTAAAGATGATGATGACCATGGGCGTGTAGATGGGGGCCAACCTAGCCCCTAACTCATCCCAAATTAAAAAAAATGCCTATAATTTCGGTACAAAATGTCAATTTTTTTTGTGCTGGTCCGGTCCAGTCTAATGCTGTGGCTGCGTCTCTAATGATGATTATTAAGCATGGCTAATGGAAATGAGAGGAAGGTTTTTATCACTAAAGGAATGTAAGATCTCCAACTACAGTTTGACAATCAGCCCATGGGTGTGGGGGCAGTAGGGGCTGGGTGAAGTTATGACTACATAGTCAAGAGGGGAGGGGAGTCCCATATTCTATTTATTGAGAAGGCAGCAATCACATGATTTGTGCCCATGGGGAGAAGTTATAACCTCTTACTTTTCCACCCTTCCTCAAAATTAATACTACGACTCTTTCCATAATTTCATTGTCCACCCGAAAATTGAAATTAAAATTTTCCAAGAGGAAGGAAATATTCGTACATCGCCCCCTCATCCCTTCCGCTCTGTGCATTCATTCATCTCCCCTGCAGTTACTCTTCGGCCTACCGCTTCACGAGCTCGCATGGCGTTATCTGTTTCGACTACGTGAGTAACAAATCTGAGAATTCGTTCTTACTTTCTATCTGTATTTGGAAGATGGGTGCATGTGTGTGCTATGGAATAGACTCAATAGAGGGAAATACAGTCTTTGATACTTGAATATACTGAAGTTCACGGAAAAGTTTAAATCTTTGGAGTTTCTCAGGTTTTAGTATGGGATCTTAGCAAGGTTTTGGGGATTGTGTGGTTGCTTAGTATCTTATTATACTCTGAAGTTCTGCTATTGGTTATCACATATTTGATGAACTTTAGTTGTCTGATTAGCCCCTTTTACAGGTGAAACG